CAGATCGAAAAACGTCGACTTCTAGCCCAACTGAAAGACGCGCTTCGCTCTGCACTGGTCTTCGGTGCTGTCGAGAAGCGAAAGAAAGCAGATGGCAGTACTCCTCCCCTTCCTCCTGTCGTCGACCATGACGCATTGCTTCGCAGGACTTATGAACGCATCCGCTGGGTTGTCGTTTCAAAGTCGCGCTTCGAAAATCTCATTTCGGACTTGCGGCATTTAACTAATAATCTCAACGAGCTGCTACGAGAATCCCAGCTGGTGGATTTATGCCGGGAATGGCATTCGATTGAAATGCGAATGGTCGCTCGGACTGACGACCAACCAGGTCTCGAAGCTCTCCAGGAGGCGACGGAGGGGGACGTAAACTGCCGCGATATGTTCTCAATGGCACGGCGCAAGTCGCTGGTCATCGGGAACGGAGGGGATGCTGGTGCGTGCGCAGATTCCCCTACCGTCCTTTCCCAGGATGATTTCGACCTTCCCAACGACTTCGCTACGTCCTCGCGGAGTCTAGCAATCTATCGCCCGCTACGGGTGCCTCATGAACAGAAATATGTTCTCATCGAGCGAAAATACTACGATACCGATATTTCCGCCGAGGACAAAGCAAAACTGCAGTTTCGCCTTTACAACCTCATCAATCTTGTAAACGCGCCGTCCAGCGAGTTCCTTTCCTGTATAGGATACTGGAGCGCGCCGCAGGACCATTGCTGGTGTCTTGTATACCGCTTCCCACTTCACGGCAGTACTCCGTCTCCCGGAAGAGATCTCAGCACCCCACTTTCGTCTCAGCCACTCTCCCTCCTCCTGTTCGTCTCTTCGGACGCATTCCGACCTCCGCTCGAGGCACGTCTGACCTTAGCATGCCGCCTCGCGAGCATTTTCTCCCGTTTCTACGGCAGTAAATGGCTGCACAAAGGCGTGCGCAGCGAGAATATCGTGTTTCCGCTCGCCGGATCTGGGGGCGTGTACGACATCTCCCGCCCCATCGTCGCGGGCTTCGAGTATTCGCGCCAATACACCGAGCAGGCGACGATTGACCACACGCCGTACAACCGCGGGCACGCAATCTACCGCCACCCACGGTACCAAGGCGACGCGGCGAACGGGTACCGCATGGCGTACGACATATATTCGTTCGGACTTGTCCTTGCGGAGATTGCTTGGTGGATTCCGTTGGAGAGCTTCTTACGGGCGGTTACTCGGAAAGGGGCGCCTGTTGCAGAGCCCAATAAACGGTTCGGCCCAGACGAAGCGAAGGATTTGAAGGGGATGGTGGCTGCACGGGTGAGGAAGGAGTTGGCGTTCCGTGTGGGATCGGATTATAAGGCAGTCGTGGAATGGTGTCTGACGAGGGGAGACGAGGAGCAAGCTGCGACTGATGCTGATCTGGCGATTGAATTCTACACGAAGGTCGCGGTTCCACTACAGAGTCTTTCGGGATCGGTCGGCCGAGTAGAATTTTAAGCCACCTTTCATCCGTGCAGGGAGCCTTGTAGATCAGAGCTGACTTGTATCGAAGATGACAATAACTGAGTAAGTGACAGCCGCAATTAATATTGATATGATCTGCGATGTGAGGGTCTCGTGACAGCATCCTCCTTGCTTTCTCCCAACGTCCACCGTCGACGATCGAACGGCGAAATTGCACCGGGCTCTCCAAATTCCTGAATTAGCTGACATGTTCTGTTCGCAGATATCCCCACTGGAATTCACCGAATCTTCGGAACCCGGGAGACGCGATCTTGCTGTTCTCGCAAGGACGTGTAAATCTTTTCAAGAGGTTGCCCTTGATAGGCTATGGAGCTATCAGTCAACTTTTATGAATATACTGCTATGCATGCCCACCGACCTGTGGCACGTTCCGGTGTAATACGAGACAGCCAATAATTTAATAAGTGCCTCGACTATACGCATCGCGTCCATTAATTGTGAATGACTCAGGATGCCGTCCGGCCGATAGAACCCTCGGATGAGGAACGACCTCTATTCTATCTGCGTCGAATTAGGGATCTTCACCTCTACTCCGCGGCGGATGTTCCATCCAAGGACCTCTTCGACACACTGAGCTTGTGCCTGCCGGGAGAACATCTTTCCCCCAACGTCGACGCTCTCACCTGGTCCTATTTAAACGTGGATCCATCTCCTTCCCCTTACATTCGCATTCTCTTCAGCATTAGGATCACATACCTTCGCATCAAGTTAACGCGGATCGAGAGCCTGCGCGTGAGTGATTTCGCTCATGCGACGTTTGAGTATCTAGCTTCAGTTTCCACCCTAGAATTCTTGGCAGTGGAAAATTCTGAGTACTCCCCTCGAACTACCCCTCCCCCGAACATCTGCGGCACGTCCAGGTTCTCCGCCCTCGATCGAATCGAAATCTGGCCTCATACCGCCGCAATAGCGATTGCGTTGCTCGAAGTACTAATAGACTATCCGGCCCCGTCATTGGAGACGTCGACATCACGATTGTAAATTCAGTCACAGCCACAGAAATCTCCTCCCTCTTTTACAGGGTAGCTGCGACCATGCCTCACGCGACTCTCTGATTACGGCCTGCGATCCGGGCCACATAGTAGCACCATTCCCACAGCGGAACATCGTGCCAGCCGTCGCGGTGCGAGGGCTGTTCTGCTTCTAAAACCAGTGTCGCGCGGCCCGCGTTTAAATACAATGTCAACTGGGCGCTCGACGGCGGGAGCGTCGTTGTGCAGGTCCAGGACACCAAGTTCAAGCTCTATCACAGCCAGCTCGCAAAGTATAGCGCATGGTTCTGCGATCTTTTGGAGGGCCGGAAAGCGGACGGTGTGGAGAGGAGCGAGACGGGGCGACTCCGACGTATGTGCTCAGGCTTCCAGCGCTGACTGCCAAGGACTTTGCGCGTCTTCTCGATGGTTTCGACAGCGCAATGCAAGTCCTTCCAGGCACGTCTCATTCTTTATGTTCCTTCTCAGAAGATTTGTGCACCAAGACCCGTCCTTCCAGAGGATGGCTGGAATCCTCCGCGCAGCGACCATCCTCTCCTTCGCCGATTTCCGCGACTGGGCAGCCGCCTGCGGGAAGACATGTGGTCGCCGCTGCTCGCAGACCTCGCGCCCGCGCCGATCGCACACGCGACGGAGAGCGTCGTCCTCGCCCGCGCCTGCGCCGTGCCCTCCACTCTAAAGCGTGGGCCGTAGGAACTCGTTCGCCTTCCCGGACACGGGAAGAAAGATCGCGATTCGGGCCTGTCTGCGGGCGACTTCCGCGCGCTCGTCAGGGCGCGGGAGGAGCTGACGGCGGTCTGGATGCTCACTATGTCCCCGTACGTCCCCGATCTCGCGCCCTGCGCCGCGCTAGCACCGCTGGAGCCTGCGTGCACCACCGTCGACGCACTGCAGTCCGGCAAGGCGCACCACAAGCTCGTTCGCGAGTCGGGTGTCGCCGACGGCTATCTGTACGATCCGTTGTGCGGGATCCAAGCGCTCATCGAGGCGGACTTGGCGGCAGAGGGCTACTGCGTAGCGTGCGTGGCGCTGCGCCGGGAGATTTGGGCGAACAGGCGCGAGAAGGTCTGGGACAACTTGGACATCTGGTTCGGGCTCGACGGTTAACGCGGCGAGGGGCAGAATACGGGTGCCGTTTTTATATCTTTACCTTTATCGAACTCTACGATATTGTGTAGTAAGAGCAATTCCCGTTCTGCAATGCTGCTTGTTTATCCATAATTAACAGAGATCTTCCTCATTTCACAGAACCTTTGTCCTTTTTGTCAATACGCGAGGGTGCTCTGGATGCTCCCCTTGTATGCGGCCCACGACGGGCGCGCAACAAGTTCGTTGTACCACCTGACTCCGGATATCAGCATCCGATCATCATGACCAGAAGAATCGGGCATACCTCGCAACGTTTGGCTTCGTGGTCATAATGTCAATCCCGCCATCCGCTAATCGCCCGCCATAGGGGAGATGGAAGAGGTCCGCCAGTGTGAACGTCTACACGCGGTGGCGTCAACTAACATCGAAAAACGCATGTGGACGGCAACCGCACCTCCCCACCAATGTAGCGCTGCTTGGCGAGGATTGCGTCGTACGCGTCGAGCTTTTTGTCAAGGACCGCGAGGTGCGCCGCCACCTGTTCCAGATCAGTCGTCCCGCCAAACATTCTGCGCGCCGGTCAGCACACGGCCAAAAGAGGAGCTCGAATGTGACGTACGGCTTGACCACGGTCTCGGCGGCGAGCTTGCTCGCGCTGGGGTCAAAATTCGTGAGTTCTGCGCTTGCGGCCTGCTCGAAGATCGCGTTTGCTTTCGGGTCCGTCGGGATGAGGCCCGCCGCAGGGTACTTCGCGGCGAGGTACCGATAGATTGCCCTCGTTTCGTACAATATAAACCCGCTATCATCCTGTAACGCGGATCAGCTTCCGCACATACTCTGTTGGCCTGTACCGAGAACGCACGATGTAGGGGACCTGCCCAAACGGCTGTTTCTCCAGATATGCCGGGGTCTGGTGCTCTCCATGCATCACATCAAGACTAACTCGAAGGGGACTTGGAGCTCGTGCAAAACTGTGACCACACGCCGAATGCATCCCACCGTGAACGGAGCGCCGTGAAGTTTGAGAATGGCCATTCAAGTACGCGTTCGAGCAGAATTGTGGGATGGAGATGGTGGGCTTGTGGTGGGCCGAAGTTGGGCAAAAGGATTTTGATCGCGCCGACTCGGGATGACTAACACTCATCAGCGTTACTAACACACTACTACAGTAGTAGTATCGGATCCTCTTCCGGCGCCGTCATTTAAGAGGCATGACAGTCTCTCCGATCTCGTAGACAGACATGACCACTGGGTTCTGTCCAACAGCGGATAAGCACATTGTGATTAGAGACGGAGCCTGATAGGCCTGATACATAGCTCAACTGTGAAATATCAAAATTAAGAGATACCGGGAGCATAATTGTGACTTCCCATATCTATCCGGCTCCTTCCATGTCGTAGAAGAAGTACAAAAAACAAAAAAGGCCGTGCCCGGAATCGAACCGGGGTCGCCAGAAATCTAAGCAATCAGAATCTGAAGTGATAACCGCTACACTACACAGCCGATATCCGGCGCACCCAGCCAGTAAATATGGCTCTGGGTCAACGGCGAATGTGGCGGCGCATGCACCGATTGGACCCAAGCACCGTTGGCGCTTGGCTCCTGCTCCGACTCGCGAGGATGCGGATCCTGACGTGGAATATTGTAAGCGCTTTCTCTGTTCTTCGTGCTTATCCTGAATTATCTCCAGAATGGCATCCGCACGATCCCCCAATACCACCCGTAGGCCCCTTCTTTCACCCGCAAAAAGGCGTTTATTGACGGCGAAATCTAGCTGGAATACCATGAAAACCCACGATGACATCCTAAATCTCCTTGGCGCAGATGTAATATGCTTTCAAGGTTGGTATCAGCCTCCCAGACGCGTTGATATTGACGTGGCCCAGAGATGAAATCATCGCGCCAGAATCTGCCCAAGGCCGTTGGCATCCCGCCCTCCTACCACTCGTTCTTCTCCTTTCCTTCACAGAAAAGCGGCTACTCTGGTGTTGCGGTCTACACGCGGGCGGAAGCTGTCGTGCCCCGCAAAGCCGAGGAGGGGCTGGCGGGCGGGCTGCAGCCGAAACCGCCGTTGACCGCGGCCGAGCGTGTTTCCCGCCGCGAGGCGTATCCCGACGAGGTGCTGGCGGACGAGGCCGGCGAGTTGGACTTCCACGACCTGGACAGCGAGGGCCGAGCGCTGGTGATCGACTTTGGGTTGTTTGTGCTCATTAACGTGTATTGCCCCAACGACGGGACGGAGACGGAGGAGCGGCTGCAGTACAAGATGGACTTCCACCGCATGCTCGAGGCGCGGGTTCGGGGCCTGATCGAGGTGGAGAAGCGCGAGGTCATCGTCGTGGGCGACCTGAACGCCTGCGCCGCGGTGGTGGATCATTGTGAGGGCCACCTCATGGTCGCTCGGGGACAATCGGAGGGCATGTCTGGGGAAGACGGGTTTTGGGCGCGCGATGCCCGACGCTGGCTCAGAAGCTGGCTGATCCCGGAGGACGGGGGCAACAACAATGAAGGCCGCCTCGTGGACGTCGTGAGGCGGTTCTGGCCGGAACGTAAGGGCATGTATACCTGTGCGTTCATCCCATCATCCCTATTCTCGTCGGACAATTATCTTGCCAGGCTGGAACACTAAAATCTCCGCGCGCGACTCCAACTACGGAACTCGTATCGATTACATCCTTGTCACACCAGGGCTACTCCCCTGGATCAAGGCCGCCGACATCCAGCCGGAGCTGAAGGGCAGCGACCACTGTCCCGTGTTCATCGATCTGCACGAGCAGATTGTCGACGCGCATGGTGCCGTGGTTAAGCTTCGAGACGTCATGGGCGGCGGCTCGGACGCAGAGCCACCTCGTATTGCCGCCAAGTTCTGGGACAAGTATAAGCAGATGCTATTGGACACGTTCTTCGGGAAGAAGACGGATCCACCCGCGAAACCAGCCACGCAACGTCCATCGTCGGGTCCGCTGTCCGGTCCACCCGCGCTCTCAGCATCGCAGGTATCCTATCCCACTACGTCTGATAATGGTACTATCCCCATCTCCATGCCGAGTGCAAGCGATGATCGGCGGCCCTCGACGAGCCAAGCGTCCGCGAGCTCAAACGCGTCCACCTCTTCTGCGAAGCGGAAAACAAACACGCAGGAGTCGTCGTCGCCGCCGCCGAAGAAGCAGAAGAAAGAAAAAGACGCGAAGCCCAAGAAGGCGGGTCAGACGAGCCTCGCGTCGTTCTTTGCAAAGCCCAAGCCGCAGGCATCCGCATCCTCGTCGAAAACAAAGGCAACGACAACGACAGAGACAGCGATGTCCACCGAGGCGGATATGCTCGACGCGGACTACCAGCTCGCGCTGTCCTTGTCACAGGAGGCAGAGCCGGCGACCCCGCGGGCGAGCGGCAGCACCGGCGCGAGCAAGAACGCGTGGACGCGCCTCCTCGCGCCCCTCGAGCCGCCGCGGTGTACCGTCCACGGCGAGCCCGCGAAGGCGTTCACAGTGAACAAACCCGGTCCGAATAAGGGGAAGAGCTTTTTCGTATGTCCGAGGTGAGCATTTGCACGAACTCCTGCCTCTTACTAAGCTAATCGTGTGTAGGTCAGTGGGCCCCGGGTACGATAAGGGGAAGGCGGAGCGGCTGCGCGAGGAGGTCGACCCTACGTGGAAGTGTGATTTCTTCAGGTGGGCGAGCGAGGTAAGGCTGGAACAGACGAGGGGCGCGGGGCGGGATGGGGATGGCTAGAGGGGTTGGATGCTTGGACCTCGCCCGGGCTTTACTTTTCCTTTCCTCTTGATGTGAAGCTACATTGATAGTTATCGTATCATACGATGATTGACCGAGGGATTGGCGATTAGGTTGCGCGTCATCCGTTGCGAATCGACAGCTCACCTCATTTATGCTTTGTGAAGCGACAGCTCACCTTGTTATGCGCTGCGATCGCCGCGGTACGTACTTGCATACCGGCGCGGATCTTCTTACTAAACTCACATGGAAGAGTTCGGCACTCGGTCCGAAATAATATTGGCACTGGGGGAGGTTTAGGGCGCCACAAGGCTGCAAAGAATGTCCGTCTGTCAGATGTTTTTGATACGGGACCTTGAAGAAACTCGGCCTGCTTTTCGGCGTGCGTAGAATTTCCCCTTATCAACCAGTTTCTAAACCGCTGAATTGCGCCGAACGTCCGCGTTACGTGGAACTAAGTTTGATTTCGATTTTAGGACAGATTCGACATGCATGAACCTCGCGCAAGGCGCTAGCTCAAACTCGGTAAAGTACCCTTAGGGGTAATCGGTAACCCCTGTCCGTGATCGACAAGTGGGCTCTATAAGAGATCTGAGACCTGTTATCGTCCCCGACTACCTCGGGTCCTCCCTCTGCGAGATGCTGATAGAGAACCTGCCGGTCGAGCTCGTCCTCATCCTCCTCCGTGGTTCGCCCATATCGGATATCCTCAGCTTTACGCGGGTCAGAGGGTTCTACGCCGGCTTTACGTATTTCTCACTGCATTTTCTAGACATCGAGCTACTTCCGATGCATTTCTTTGGCGAACCGGCGACTCTGGATGGACGCGTTCGATTCGTACCGGATTCAACTCCCGCTGGGGGATACACTCAAGACCACCGACCTGTCTCTTCTCCCCCGTAACGCGGTGCGCAGCATGTCGATCGCGCGTAAATGGCGACATCCCGAGTTGGCAAAACCCATCGCTCCGATTCGCACATACGAAGCAACGCGCCTTTACGATCTTCCCGCCTGGGCGTTCTGGGCGCCGTTGAAATACGCGCAGCCGTCGTTCATGGGCCACGCGCCGCCGGCGTTCATGAATGTTCTCCCCGGTGGACGCGCGTTCCTCTGTGGTTCGATGGGCCATCTCGGGATCTACGATCTCCGCGGGCGCTATGGATATGAGCTGGACGTCCCGTTCTGCCCGCGTTTTGATCCCCCTCCCGGAGGTAGCGCTACCACGGTCAGTTGGGATAGCGTTGATAACGGCGCACATATTACCGTCGGAGTGCTTTCCAAGAGCTTCAATGAGCGGCGGGACTTGGAAAGGTATGTGATATTTCACATCTTTGTTCGGGGTACTAATTTATTGTTGTTCAATCAGTAAACTCAGCGTATTCGCTCTTGATTATGCGCGCACGGCGGATGAACCGTCCATTTGTCGCACTCACGTCTTCACGCTGCCCATTTACGCTACAGCTGTGTACACAAAGGGCCCACTCGTCCTCGTCCACGGCAGTAACACCTTTCTTCTCGTTAATCTCCAAACCAAGCAATGCGGGTGCTGGCTCCTTCAAGTGTGTATCTCCGATTCTTATGTTCCGCCGCATCTGAACCTGATCTTGAAAGGATACTGAAATCACCGCCGCCGAAATAGATCCGGCGCTAACTAGCATCTTCCTCGTCGTCAACTCCGTGGCAGACAATGCGCGCAGCCTGCAGATATTCGATGTCCCGCCCGAGATGGAGCCATTCGAACAGACACCGTTTTGGGCGTGCTATGAATTTGCGCCGCGCACCCGCGCCGTGCTTGCCGACCCCCTGCGGAGGTACCCCACGTATCCAACGATCCAGCTGTTTGATTCAGAGAGCGAGACGTTCCGCGAAGCGACGCTCGCCGCCGGCGGGACGCTCCTCCTCTCCTCCACGGTCACTAAACCGCGGTCCCTTGCATTGCCGCGCCGCGCCGCCGTGAATACGAACACCTGCACCCCAACCGACGTCGCCGTGCTGCGGTCCGCGCACCGCCGCCAGATGCTCGCCGTGTTTAAGAAGGAAGAGTTGGCGATCCTGCCCTCTGCGCCCGCGGACGACGTGCTGCGGCTGGCGTTTCCCGCTGGGGAGATGCCCGGCGCGGGGCGCGCGCTCGCATTTGACGACGTGTATGGGATTATGTTGGTCTTTGCGCGGGGGCGCCTGTTTGTCGTGCAGTATTGAAATGTCGATACGGGGCGAGGTCTGTCATAAAGGCCAGGAATTGAAGGATGACTGGATTTATTGGTCTTCGGGCTAGAGTTTAGGACGTTCTGTCCTTCTTTTGCCCTTGTACATGTAGAAAGAGGAGAAAGAGAACAAACCAAGTCAGAGTGTGATTTGGGTGTGATGGATAGCAGCGATGACTTCCGGGACGGGTTATGTCCTTCACTCGGGATGTTTACGCAGAATGCTCACACCCGCTCAGGTACAGTGAAGTTGGGTAAGTCAACTTGAGTTAGATATACTTGATTTTGCATCGAGATTCAGATTACACCGCCAACGGTCAGACACGTGGGCGTCAGCTGGAGGCGAGAAGTTCAACACATATCGACACCAGCTGGCCTCAGCATGGTGGAAGCTGTCGGCCAGCTGATTTCTCTATAGCTCCAGCCTGGAACCAGCCTAGACTGGATTCCAGCTGGGGGTGCAGCTGGCATATGTCTAGACTCCCATGCATGTAAATTGATCATTGTTCCTGATTATTGCCCACATTATTTACGTGAATAAAACATATATTGATGTAGAAATAAGTA